ATTATTATGGCTACCTATGTATGTGTACCTAGAGCTAACACAGCTTCAGCTCCTGCGTTTGGCCTTGCTCTATCTTGCATAATTTATGTCTGGCAATCTGGGTTACACACACACACACACACACACTCATGTGTGTGTGTGTCTAGGCCCTGTTATCAAACTGGCTGCTCACAATATGCGCACGTCTTTTGGCTCGCACCCCTTTACAACTTTTACTGCTTTTTTTCAGTGGTTCTTTCACTGCTTCCCATTCGCGTGCTTCTTTCTTATGTGACTTCTTTTTTTTTTTTTTATTTTATTTTATTTTATTATTTTCTTCTTCTTTTTGTTGTTTTTGCTTCTTTTGGTCTCCTTGACGTTTGGCGCATTTTCAAGCGTTTTGCTTTTTGATTAAATTTTATGGGCACACTTACCTACATTTAAGTGGCTGTGGGTGAGCTGGACAAGGTGACAGCGAGGGGGAGGCGGAGGGCGTGTCTGTGTACGTAACGTATTCCTGTTGCTTGAAACGAGTTTTTCCTGCACTTGCTTTTCACATCTCCTTTTTGTGTGTGTGTGTGTGTGTGTTGTTGTTGTTGTTGTTGTTGCTGCACATCAAACAGGTCGCGTTTTCTTTAGCGTTGTTTTTGTTGTTTTTCTTCTTCTACTTTTACTTATTTACTGCTCTTTGGCTTTGCCGCTTTCCCGTTGTCTCCTCCTTTTGCTCTCTTTGTCGTTTGCCTTTGCCTTTGCCTTTGGCTTTGGCTTTGGCTGTGTGCCTCTCGCATATGTTTACCTTGAATACGTCCTTGAAGATTTGTCTTATTTTCGTTTTATATTTTGTTTATAGGTCTTTCATTTTGTTTCTTCTGTTTATGTTGTTATTTCTTCTTCTTCTTCTGCCGCTTGTCGCCCAGTTTTCTTGCAGTTGTTCAGCTGGTTGTTAAAGTGGGTCGTCGCGCCGCCTGGGCAAAACATCTTTTTCTTCATGGCGCATTTTTCATAGTTGAAATTCCTGTTGGCATTCTTCTTGTGTTTGTTGCGCATGTTGCAAGTTGTTGTTGTTGCTGCTGCTGCTTCTTCTTGGCGACTCTTAATGGTATTTCCTGCATTTTTCGAATAATTTCAGTTCAAAATTGTCGTCAATGAACTCACCTGTTTGCAGTTGCTTATGCTACTTATTTATACTATCTTCAAGAAATAACTTAAATTAGTAAACAACATGTGCTTAGAGTGCCACAATTATGCGTTGTCCAACACTGTTTGCTGTTTGCTTAATAATGCATTGTTTTAAATAATTAAACTTTTGCGTAATTGTATATAAACAAATTTAACTAAATGATAACTAAATATAAAATAATTATTAACTTAAAAATTAGTAAACAATATAATAGTAATTAAATTAATTAAAAATAATTAAAATTTATCTAAATAATTATAACAATATAATAGTTGTACGAAATAATGAACAAATTTCTTGGCACCAATTTTTAGAATCTAAAATAATTTTTCATTTTTCTAAATTTCATTTGAAGAATAAATCTTTGCACAATGTATTGGAATTATTATATATATTTTATTATTTCAAATATTGTTTATGTTAAACTAAAGTCTTATAAGACTAAAAGTCTTAAATGGCATATTCTATAAAACAACAAACAATTCTAGAGAGGCCTTTGGGCTCTACTCGAAGAACTCATGAGTTCACTCACTTTATGCGCATGATTACTCAATTGTAGCTTAAAAGAATTAACAACAAATGCTATAAATAACACTTTTGCCGGTTGTTGTTGTTGCTGTTGTTGCTGTTGTTGTTGCCTTGTGTTGGCCATAATGTGTAAGCCAACACTTGACTGAGTGTAGACTGAAGGGGAGAGACAGCGACCGAGAGGGTGCCGTGGGGCTGCCACGGTGCGGGTAAGAAGAATATAAAAAAAAAACCAGTAAGGTTCGTTCTGCTGTTGGCTGGTGAGGTCTGCTGCCTATTATTAACTTGGCTACTTGGCTTGGCTTCTCTTTTACGGCTGGCCATAACCATGACTTCTGCCTGGCTGCGCGACTCGACTTGGCTCTGACTTTGAGGTCAACAAACAGCTGCTGAGCTGGGAAATCGAGTCGCTGGCGTTGCCGTTGCTTGTGGTTAGCTGAAGTCATGCGTTTTAGCCATAGTCTCACACACACACACACACACACACACACACTCTCACACTCTTCCAGCCGGCTTCTACAAACCAGTTTCTTGTGGCCAAAAAAAAAAAACAGATTCAAATAAAGTTTCTCAAGCGCTTGTCTTGTGGCCGGCGTTTTTCTTGTTTGTCAGTTTAGTTCGCACGTTTTTTTTTCCCCCCCCTCTACTTCTTCTCCTTTTTTTTTCTTAAATCTCATTTTGTATTTTGGTTAAAGCTTTGACTGATTTCTGGATCTGAACCGAGCGTTTCACACACAAAGCAAACGTTTCCGTTCGCAGCTTGTTAATAATAAATTGTATTGGAAATAAGTCTATTAAATATTATCTTCAACGGAAGTTTCGGCTTATAATATGCGCTCTTTATACGAAAACTAAATATATAAATCTTTGTAAATTTATTGTATTACCTTGGCGCTTTTCTTAACTCTTCTCCTCAACATGTTCTGGATTCGTAATGTTCCTGTTGCTGCTGCTGTTTGTACATCAAATGAATTTCAATTTCATTCGGCTCAGCTCAACATATATATATACATATATATATGCAGATATATACCTGTATATATGTATATATCAGACAGATATGCACATATGCATACATATGTTTACACATGACAACATTGTAAATAAATTCAAATTATACACTTTGTGGAAAAGGTCTTTCGGGTTCGGCGAGTTTCGAATTCGGAAATAATCAATTTACAAATTTATTGATATTATAAAACCATTATGCATTTATCGATAACAAGTCCATGTGTTACGTTTATGGTTACATTTTCAGTACTAATCCGTTAAAGTCCATACATGGAGTTATGTGGCGTTAAAATATAAAATTACCTATCCATGAACTTGATAAAATATCGATAATCAATAAAACATTTGTTATCGATTGTTACTTATGGATAACGTACATCGTTAAGTACCGATAACATTCGATAAATGTAGCTAAATACATTATATTATCCAATCTATAATAATTTGTCGTTAAAAAATGTGTGAATTGTATAAAATTTGAATCGATTGTTTCATTTGGTTATCATACATCGATTAATACCGATTGCAATCCATATATATTGATTCAGCATTCGATAAAAATCGATATATGTAGCTAAAAATCGAAAGATGCTCTTCGAAATTCAAGAGTCGATAAGATATGAAAACATTATATTATTCGATAGTTAGTTATCGTTAAAAATTTATCGAACTGTATAAAATTTGAGTCGTGTCTCGATAATTAGCGACAAATGTGTTAAAACACAATAGAGTATTCAAGCATCGTTCTGCTTTATGTTTTTATTTTATTTATTTATTTCGTATTTTGTTTTTGTGGCCAACGACTTGGTCTGTGGCCTGTGTGTTCGCCTGGGTGGATTGTGTGTGTGTGTGGCTCTGGTGTGACTGTCAAAGCATACAATTAACATAATTTACTTACCAATACAACAACACACACACACACACACACACACACACACAGGCACGTGGAGAAGGAGAAGAAGAAGCGGCAGCAATCACGACAGCCTCGTCGCCAGTTTCTAAGTTTTAGCAAATTTGGCAAATTTTTGTTGGTCTTTGTCGTCAATTTTTGCTGGTCAACAACAAACAAGCTGGCTGTAAGGGCTAGCGAGGGGCAATGTAAGGTATTGCGGGGGTGTTGCGGCAATTTGTGGATGTCTTTCAGCTCGTTATGGCTCGCAGTTGTTGTTTTAGTTGAGAAATCGGTTTTGTAACCGAAAAGTTGTTGTTTCTAGGAAATGCCTGGGTATCTGGCAATACCTTTGACTCTGAATTGCAACTCTTTGGGACTTCTAGAACTCGTTGCATAGTCGATAAGCGGCCATAAAGTTGCCGCCTTATCAGCTGCCACAGGAAGTTTGCATTGTAATCAGAAAATGTTCAACTTATGCGCAGGCGGCTTCAACAAGCGAACACATCAAATCAAACTAAAATATAAAAACAAAAAAAAAATATACAAGAAATATTCGAATGCCTCGCACTCTGACGAACAGTTGATACTCTTGAAGTACAAGGAAATGGATATACAAGGCGTTTAATTGATACCCTTGCAGGGAAATTAATGTGAAAATATTTAGTATTAGGAGCTTGGCAAAAGCTTTATATGAACTCAAAATTTCCACTCTTTTAATATTTCTTGAACTTAAACAATATATAGAATGTAGAATATGGTATAAGGATCTTAGCCATAAAAATCCTGCTTCAAATAGACTGTTGATCCTGAACAAGAGCGATATATATATTTATATATATTTGTTGATTCGGCAATGTTACACACTTATTTAAAATATCAGCATGCCTTTGGCAAGGGTATACAAAATTTCTTTTTATAAATATTTCATTGGGGGCTGCGTCGCTTGGATATGTATGTGGGGAGATATCGCATATAAAAATCAGCAAGAAAAAGTTCCAATCACTTTTATTTTTTATGCATGTGTGTGCATGTGTACAGATGTGTGTACATGTGTGTGTGTGTGTGTGTATGTTTAAACATATATTGCCTTTTGTTGCGTTGCGTGTGTTTACTTTCATAAAGAAAGAAAGTTTTATATATGCGAATAAACATATATGCATATATATAATGTATATAGCGTGTCTGTGCGTTTATATATATTATGTAGATATTTTGTTGCCCAAAAATCTGTTCGGGCAGACGGCAAAACTACAATTTGCAATGCTAAAACCTAACAAAAAAAAAAAGAAAACCCCCCCGAAAAAAGGGACGCGCGGGATACTCAACAGAACGGGACGCATTTGGTTTTATTCCTATATATTTTTTTTTTTTCGATTTTTTTTGGTTCATTTTTTTCAGTCGGTTATTTTACATATGTAAATTTATGCATATCTTGGTTTTGGTTTATATAGACTTATATATACGCTATATGTCTGTCGTTGCCATATCTCTGCCTTGAAATCTGCATAAATGATGATGATTTTATTTTATTTTTCCCTGTTTTGTTTTTATTTTTTTATTTGTTTTTTCTCTTGTGGCTTTCGTCATTGGCGATGTGGTTTGTTGTCTTTTTTGTTTTTATAACAACTTCTTATAAATGTGAAATATATTTTGCATATACATCGCTCCAAAATGGGCTCCAGAGATTGCGATTGCTGCTGCCAGTAGGGGAGGTCCTCCAGGGAGAGTTTTGCTTGGCTCTTTGGCTTAAGAATTGAAATTTTGGTCATTTGTTTTAAGGTTTTTTCTTTTCAATTTCGTTTACCCTGTAACTTGCTTGTTAAAGGATGAAGGTGACTATGAGTTATCAGGCCTTTTTGAAAAGAACGTTTAAAGTTATTCAATGCATATTTTCATAGCATACTTTTTGGAAACTGTCTTACGTCAAGCACACATAGGGTATTTCACACTCCATCATACCCAAGAGACGCATTCTAAGCTACATCCAGTTTTGAGTTTTGCATAAGCGGCATCTGTCCAGTTTCCAGTCGATCTCCAGCCTGGAATTATTTGTTGTTGTATATTTTGTTGCTTTATGAAATTCATCGCGAGCTGTTATTTTTTTTTTTTTTTTTAGATTTTGAGTTAGTGGATTCTATTTAGGCTAACAGCGGCTATCCAGAGGCATGAAACCATAAAAATGGCAAATTAACCGTGTGCCTGTGTGTGTGTGTGAGTGCGTGTGTGTGTGTGTGTGTGTGTGTTGGTGTGCAAAACCTTTCTGCCAGTGAAGCCACAAACAAAACAGCTACAACACAAAAACTCACACACACACACACACACACAGTTACGTACAAATAAACATCAAGCTGAGGCAGCTTGAAAATGGCACGTTTTGAGGTTCGTCCAAGTCCAATCAAGCAGCGACGTCGTCGACTGACTGACGCTTAACGTTGCCGTCGTCGTCGCTGCGTCGCTGCGTCGCTGTCGCCGCCCCTTTGGCGTGTTCAATAACAGCAATGGCCTCGGCCTGCTGGCTGGCGCTGCTTCAATCAACGACAGCGACGTCGACAGCGACGCAGCGACGGCGACGGCGACGGCAACGTCGCAGGCAGCCTAGCAATTTATCCAGCCATGCATATTAAGCCTCACGATTTGTATTTGCCTCGCCGTCCGTCTCTCCCCGTCTGTCTGTCTGGCTGTCTGTCTGTCTGTGTGAGTCAGCCTGCGCGCTGCATTCGCCAAATGCTGCCATGCTTGCCTGTCACACGCTGTCGTCGTCGGCGTCATTGTAGCGCTCTCTCCCTCTGGCTGTATGCAAGTGTGTGTGTGTGTGTGTGTGTGTGTGTGTGTGTGTGTGCAGATATGTAAGAGTTCAATTTCAGTTCAGTTCAGCGCGCTTCACAGTTCAGTTTGAGTTGATTCTGTTTTATAAGTTTTCAATTCAAGCTCGACATTGTGGTCTCGCGCCCCATCCCCACCTCCTTCCCTTCTCAATAAACATGCCAATGTCCGTCGTTTTAAACGTTGTCTGTTTCTGTCCTGGCTAAATGACCAAATGACTAAATGACTGAATGGCCAGCACTTCCTGTGGGCGTTGAAGCGCCGCCTCTTTTTCACTTATGTCAGAGGTGTTGCCTTTGTTGTTGTTCTTCTTCTTCTTCTTCTTGTTGCCCTCGTCGCATTCAGTTTGCATATATTAAGCTTTGCATAATTGAAGCTTTGATTTGAAAACGTTGAAAACGTTTATGGGAATGGATGGGCAAAAGAGTGGCAGCCCTCTCTTATATTTGGCATTGGCATGTGCCGTTCTCTTTGATTCAATTTAAAATGAGCCCAATAATATAGTGGAAGCCTAAAACTTTTATTCTAGCTAATAAAGAAAAAACCCCTAATTTTGTATATCCGGGTATCAGAGGGTACTTTTAACTATATATATAGATATGTGTATGCGCCTTTAAAGGCCAATTTAAATATTCGACATTTTGTGGGGCTTCCTTTTAAATGTGAGTCAAAAGTGCAGCTGTTTCCTTGTTTTCATTCGCTAAGGTTCAATCTGTTTTTCGCTATCTCCCTCAAAAATGTTTAGTTCCACTTTAAAATGCAGCAACTGTTTTGCTTTGATGCTTATTTCCTGTCGCAGCATCAACAAGTGAAGCTTAAGTTCAACTTTTACAGTTCCCTCTCTTCTCTTAGCAGTACTCACACACACACACACACACATATATATACATACACATTTAAACGGTAAAATACTTATTTTTGGACTTAAGTGGCCAGTGCCGTTATCCTACGTGGGAGCAGCGTTTCGACGCAGCTGCTACTGTTACTGCTATCCATTTAACAGCTGCTTAACATATATTTGCTCTGTACGTGTGTACATGTGTTTGAGTTTGCTGTGTGTGTGTGTGTGTGTGTGTGAATTAAACCGGCACTTGTGCAACTTCTCAGCTGCTGCTACTTTAACTCCACATGTTGTCAGTTCTCTTTTGCGCTGTTAACCCCCATTCCCCTCTGCCGGTAACGTCTTACTGTCTGAGACAGTGGCGTCTTATGTGCCGTTTTTTCTATATTTTCTTTTGCTCTCGTAGCTCGTAGACAAGGCTATAAAAATTGCTTAGTTCTTAAAGCTTTTTATCGCACGCTTTGTGCGCTGCTGCTGCGTCTGCTTGTCTGGCGCGTAGTTGTTATGGCTGCCTCTCACCTCTCCACATTACACCCCCGCTCCCCACAGACTCTTCTTACGTCTTTATCTCATCTTCTCGCACACGCTTCCCACACGTTATTTGTTTTGTCGTCGCCGTTGTCGCTTTGCTTTTTCTGCTTGTATTTTATTATTATTATTTTTCGCGTGATTCTGTGTTTTGCTCGGCAGTTTCTTTGGAAAAATTCAACTTTTACTTTTTGTTTTCTTTTATGTATTTGCCTTCTGTCGCTTGTTTACGTGTGTGTGTGTGTGTGTGTGTGTTTGACTTTGAGCATTTTTTATGATTATTTTTGTTGTTGCTTTTTTTTTATATATTTTTCATAGCATTGTTTTTTTTTTTTTGTTTTGGTCGACTCGTTTAGCGCTCGTTTCGCTTTGTGCCGCATTTTCTGTGCCGGCAAGTGTTCTCCTTTTTCTCTCTGTCTGTCCGTCTCGCTGTCTATCAATTGAATTGGGGGTTTTTTTTTTTATTCAGTTTATTTTTATTCTTTACATTTCGCTCAATATCAAAAGTCGCGTTTTACGTTTACGCTCTACGTAGCGTTTTTGTTTGCGTTACGACGTTACACACAAACGGCCCGACACTTGGATTCATTCATACATTTTCACTTCTTGCATGCATGCATGTGTGTGATTGTGTGCATGTGTGTGTGTGTGTGTGTGAGTGTGTGTTTCTGTGTGAAGCATTCGCCGGCCGCTTTCAATCTAAAATTGCGTTTTTCCCTTTTTATTATACATATGTATATGTTTGTATGTTCGTATGTTTTGCCAACGCTTTCGTTCGTTTGACTTTCTTTATGACTGCGCTGCCGTCTCTGCTGCTGCTGCTGCTGCTGCTGCTGCTTTTGTGTGTTGTTGATGTTTTTATTACTTCTCATTTTTTATGATTGAAGGTCGTTGGTTGGCGTTGCCCTGTTTTTGCTGCCTCTACCTACTTCACAACCAATTTGTTGTTTACATTTGTAGTTATGCACGCCAGTTAGCCTATAAACAGTTTGACATGCATTGCGACTCGCACTGGCACCTGTGAATTGCCAACTGTAGCTACATATCTATACATATGTACATCGAGTGTATGTGTGTGTGTGTGTGTGTGTGTGCATGCTGCTCAATTATGTGTATTTAATAGCACAGCTTGAAAGCTTGCAATTTGTTCAGTTGATTTATTTGCTTTCAATACATTTCTTTACTGGCACGCCATAGTATTCGGCTCTGTTAATTTATTACAAAAATACGCGCACACACAGACGCATGCAAAGCTCATTAATATGCGTTTGTAGTTTTGTACACCTTTCCAGTCGCTACAATAGCAACAGCAAAGGCACATAATGAAGCTATATAAGCAAACGAAACGTCGAAAAAAGTTCAATAAACTTTTTGCAGCTAGCGAACGTCGCCATCGACCACTGCTGCTGCTGCTGCTGCTGCTGCTTCTTCTTCATCATTTTTTTGCTTGGACATTAGTTCATTTTCAACTCTCTCTTTCTCGCTCTCCCTCTCTATCTCTCTTTCTCTTACTCGCTCTTGCGTTGTCACCCGCAGCAAAGCTACACTCAATAATCTCCACTCTGTTTCGACACTCTTCACTCTTTCATTTACCATGGGTAAATTCACCTCGCGTGTAATTCTCAATCAGCACTTGAGCAATTCCGTAATTTACTTGCGCACCAATTTCTCGTTGTTCGTTTGCCATTTGGTGAATACTTGTTGTTGTTGTTGTTGTTGCTGTTGCTGTATTTGATTTAAGTTGTTTTTTTTTTTTTTTTTGTATCTGCTACAAAACGCTTCCTCGAAAGGGCGCCGAGGAAGCTGTTGCTTAATTTAATTAACGCTGACCATCGCATTTTCCCAGGCTGCACCCATACATGCGCATGTTCATACATACAAATATATATATATATATATATATATATGTACAGACACAGTTGAGAGCTTACAATTGCTACAATTTTCGTTTTGTCATTAGGATTGATTTCTTGTCTTGCTTTGGTAATTACCGTTGAAATTGTTGCTTCGCGCTTGTGCGCCATCTCTTTCGCACACGCTCTCATATGCCAAAAACGATCCGTCGATCTTTGTCTGTCGCGTGTTGATGATGCGCTCATTCACAGGCTCAGCAGCAGCATTGGGGCAACTGGTTTGGTTCCGCTTTCGAAAAAGCCCCAAAAGCTTACAACCAGCATGCAACCCTGGAATTCTTTAAATACACACACACGCACAAACACACTCGTGCCTATTAATAATACACACACACACACACACACACACATGTATCAGGCCTCTTTTGATTGTCTTTAATTAATTTCTACATTTTTAACTAATTTGCAAAATTTCTCTTTTCTGTCTCGTTACAGGTAAATATATCGACAACAACAACAACAACAACAACAGCTACAACAAGCGAACAACAAATAATTGTATAATTGGTTTATTTGCAGTAAATACTTTTGAGTTGGGTTTTAAGCTTTTGAAAGCCCAACAAACTTTTAAGTTTAATTTTAAGCATTTCTGTCTTCATTTTTTTTTGGCTGTTTCTGACGTCAGTTTTGCAGAGCGAAAAGCAATTCAATTGTGGTTTCTAAGGGGTGCAGGTTAAAGGGGATATATACTATATATATTAGACTATATATACATTGATTTGGCTTGGAATATATTATTATAATATATAATAGAATTAAAATATATATACATAGACTAAAGTCGACCCATAGATAGATATGATACACATAATATTAGGGTCAAGGGAAAACCCAACAAATTTTCTTGGATTCTTCTTCTTTTGCACTTGTATTCTCTAAGTTCTAGAGAAAACCCAACAAATTTTCATAGATTCTTCTTCTCACGTGTATCCCTAAGCTTTTGCACATTTTTGACAAATCAACTCTTGAGCTTTAAATTCTCATTATACAGTTATTATCATTATGTATCCCTGTGAGTCGCACACACATTGTATGTGGCATGCAACAAATGTGTCAATATGCAAATACCTTTTTTTTTTTCATTCTATACGGCCACGCCCCCCGCCCCGACATATGCTGTGTGTCGATGCTAATAATCTGACTGTAAAAATTCAGCACGCAAAAGCAGCTCATTTGCATGCAATTATTTTCCTTTTATGAACAACGCTCAACCCCCTTAAGGCGCCCCCTTCCCCTTACCCCCCTCCCCCACCTCTGCCAGAGCGACATGTACTTGAATTTCAATATTGATGCCTTGTAATTTGCTAG